CCCCCCCCCCACTCCCATCTGTTTGGTTTTGTAAAAGTCCCTTTTTTCTTAAGAAAAACCTGAAACCAAATGAAACCCCAGCATCCCGTCATACGGGGGCTAGGCAGAAGAAGGTTTGGGGGTCCCTTCCCTTGGCCGGCTTGGAAAAGGGCAGTGGGAAGGATGCTCTTGGGTCAGGACTCCCAGCTGCGGCATTGGCAGGATCTGAAGGGAACAGAACCGTTTCAGGGCTACGATTTGGGGAGGGGTCAGGGGTCAGGGTTTGTCTCCCCCCTGCTCCCTGCTGGGGCTGCACGTGGCCCCTGGGCTGTGACTGGAGAGAGTGGAGCTGACCAGCACCGCGGTGGAACGGACCGGCTGCCCCCTGTAAAAGCAAGCACGTCGCAATGAATGTTGCAGGGATCGGGCGCCGCTGTGCTAGTGCCAGGGGACTGCCAAGGGGCTGCATCAATGCTGCTTCACACCAGCGCGAGATGAGAATCAGCTCTCACCCGTGAGAAGAGCATCTGGGCCAGATTCCCCCCGGCCCCAGCACTTCACATCCCTGCTTGCTCCTGTGCCCCCCGGCCAGCCCCGAGCTGGGACACGCAGGTGTGGTCCCATCCCCACCAGGGCCGTGATGCTGAATCAGCTGGTCAGGAGCAGGTCCTGGTGCTTCGGACTCAGGATGGGACCCAGACTGGAGATGCTGCTGCGGAAACCTTGGAGCAGGGGGAGCTCAGGGGGCAGGAGAAACGATTGCTTTGGTGGAGGTTGCCCAGTGCCCCGAGCTTGCCGTGCGAGGGCCATGTCTGGCGCAGAGCATCTCTGAGCTGCTCAGAGCGTGTCAACGTCTGGTGATGGAGCCCTCGCTCTGCTGAGAGCTGGTCTCATCCTGCCCACTGAGCAGGGCCTGCTGTGGTCAGTGTTTGCATAGGAGACCATGGCATGGCCGGGGGTAGGGGGTAGCCCATGGTTTCCTGTTTCAGTGCAGCCAAAGAGTTGTCTTTCAGATGAATGTTGAAGCTAAAGCCCTGTGGCTTGATAGCCAGGGCGTCGGGGTTGGGACCGTGGCCTGATTCCAGCTCAGGTGGCCCCATTCTGCCATGCTGTAATCCCTGCTGGCTTGCCAGGAGGCAGGGGCCCTGTGCCAGTTGGCTAGTATGCTGGGGCCCTTGTTTTAGCCATGCAAGACCTGGGCAGTCAGGAAAGCACCGCAGGTCCAGGGCTCAGGGGGGTTGAGTGGGACGAGGGCCGCGGGCCTCGCAGCCACCTGGGATGGGGTCGGGGGGACCTGGGCAGAGCTGTCGTATGTGCCCGCAGAGCCGTTCCCTCTGGCCTGCCCGGCCCCTGGTGGGCCAGGGCATTTGGGTGCATGGCCTCGTGCAGGATCCGGGGCTATGGGACCCTGCTGGCTGGTGGTGGCAGGGGGCAAGCGAGGGCTGTGCTAACACACTTGCCTCGGGCCACTTGGCCTACGGCCACTCGTCTTCTGCTTCCATCACTGGCCCCGTCTCTGCCACCACCAGGTGCGGATCCAGCTCTAGATCCAGCCCAGACCACGGGGTGAGTTTGAGCCCCCTGGACATGAGGAATGGCTGCTAAGAGCCATCTCATGGCCTCCAAGGGATTTGTGTTGCCCAAGAGGAGCCAACATGGCCTGGGGTCCCATGAGACTGGCCCATGCCCCCCTACCCTGCTTTACTCTGCAGCGTTGGTTCTGGTCCCAGCTCCCTGGCTGCCGTATGGGCCACGCTGCTCTTTGCGGATCACAATCCCAGCACTCAAATGCAAGTAATGGAGCATGTTTGCACTGAGCCTCAGTCACGGCTCAAGGAGCCTGGCAGAGCTGTCCTGCCTCTGGCCACATGGACCAGGCCACAGTGCCCTTGGGTCCTCCAGGTGCCTGGCTCCGCTCCTGGTGGCTGGGGTGCACTGAGTGCAGGGGAGCATGCTCTCATGGGAGCCCGCTACCCCGTGGCATGTGGCTTGTGCCCTTCTGGTGGGGGGTGAGGAGGGGACACACTGCCCAACCTGCTGTCCACAGCAATAATGCCAGCTGCCTGCAGCTCGTGGCCTGGCAGGCAGGTGGGTCCTGCCTCTCCTTCCTCAGTTGAGTCCAAAACCTAAGCAACCAAAGCGCTGTGCCCCCACACCACAAGGTCTGACCTGGGGCTCCTGCAGGTGTGGCTAGTGACAGTGGGCCAGGTCCAGCCATGGCCGGGGGTACCCAGACGTGGCCTCGTGCCCTGGCAGTCCCAGGGGACGTTGGCTGGGATGCACTTTACCAGGGAGTGTCCTGTGGGGCTCAGATGTCACGGGTGACTCTTGGGGGGTGATGCAAAGCTGAGGGTCAGGGAGCAGCATCTACTCCCTGCCCAAGAAAATCCTGCACATCTCCTTTGGTTATGGAAGAGGAGAGGTGTGGATCAGGGGGGGTTGGCGCCCGCCACCCCGCTCCAGCCACCCAGCCCATCCATCTCCGCCAGGCACTGCTCTTTCCCCCGCAGCAGCACACGTGATCTTCCGTGTGGCTGCGGGGGCGAGAGTGGCCTGTTTTTAATGGTGTCACCCCTGGGATGGCTCCTTCTCCCTGCCAGGGCAGGTGTGGCCTCTCCTGTGAGCACCCCTTTCTCCCCCAACCCCGCCGCTACACACACAACCAGGTACCGCCTTGCACGTCCTCCTCCATGATGGGAGGGGTCACAATCAACCCGCTGGTGCTAACGTGGCTCGGTGCAGCCGGAGGGCAGCCGGTTCCACGGAGCGGGATGCTGGGGCCCCGTGCGGGGCGTACGTGTGTGTGCGTGTGCACGTGTGTGTGTGTGTCCATGCCCAGCATCCCACGATCAGGCAATAAGCAGTGTTTTGTTTTCTGCGTGCAAACAGTGTTCATGGAGGTAGGTCCTTTGGCTTGTTCCCATGCCCCGCGCCTCCCCCCTTGCTTTCCCAGTGGGCTCCCAGTGGGTGGGTAGGGATGGGCAGGCACAGGGAGCGTGTGTGCATGCAGCACGGGAAGGGACAGGCTAGTGGCTCCCACACTTGGGTCTGTCCACGCTGGCAACCCATGGCAAGCAGCCACAGACAGCATCATCCCTGCCCTTCCCTCCTTGAAGTGTGGTGAGAAGGTGCAGGGCATCTGCAAGGGAGGTGCTGGCAT